CTAAGTATGTTCAGTTTGATATCAAATTATTAGGGTTGATACGAAGAAGTGAATTTGCCTGTTTGCTTATGCCCTCCTTCTTTCAAAAATAATTGAAGATGTAATTAACATGTTCTACAAATCTGGAGGCACTGAATTTAAATTGCTAGTTGGAGTACCTCATGTAGAAAACATCTATTAAGCATTGTAAAATGCCAACCCACAGAGAAGAAAGGTAAGAGTATTTTGGGATTGGAGATTATAAAAGTCAGGATAGACTCACACTTCGGAGGAAGCCTGATAATATTAGTAACAGCAAACACATTCTGCTTCCTGGGTTTCAGGCACTCTTCTAGAAAATTTACACGTAGGGAGTTAAGTTTTTAGTGGAGAAATCAAAGCACAGAGAAGTTAAGTAACTTTCCCAAGGTTACCCAACAAGTACATGGTGGAACTGGATTTGAACCCAGGCAGCTAACCCCAGATCCTGCGTCCTTACTCCATGTGCTACGTTAATGCAAGCCGGCCACCTAGCAGCTAGTGATAAAGGGGCAGACTATATGGCCTTGAGTGGAGGTTTTCTGGATTAAGTCCCACAGGAAGTCAAGAGAATCTCTGGAGAGATTCCTAGTGCCATGTGATCACTTTATGACTGAAAGAACAACTTTCCAAATTTGGGACCCACTAAAATCCAGTGAGGGTGAAAGTGAGCCTCCCTGGGGTGTGTCACTGGCATCATGGAAGGGATGCAATTTGGCCGTTTGCATCTTAATCCCCGAAGTCAGTGTTAGGAATCTAAATTCTGATTTCAGTCTGTAATAGTCCCTTCCATTGGTTCAGTCGCCATTTGTATTGACTCAGTCTCATTTTTGCCCTTACAGTACAGCAAATCAAAACTGGATGAAAATCAAAAACCAAGAAAAAGTTGATGATAATAATTTACACCGTAACGGGCACTGAATTAAGAGTTTAAACTAGATGACTAACTTCGCGCAATTCTCTGACACACTACACGGGCATTTGTTTATTCACCTGTAAAATAAGGGGAGAAGAAATCAGCAGTTATTGCTATTTAGGTTCGAGTACTTCACATATGCTAACTCACTGAATCCTCATAGTATTAGTAACTGATAGATTAACATCCATTTTCTAGGCTAACAAAACAGAGGCTTAGAGGAGATATGAATTTGGCTAGAGTCATTCAGCTAGCACGAATCAAAGCATCGATGTTTACGTGGTTTTCACTTTTTTTTTTTTGCATTTCACTTCCACTGTAAATCTGTCATTCCAGGATTTTAGCAGTCACAAAGGGACATGGTATTGCTGCTATTCTTCAACTCCAGTGCTACCACCTAGGTGACCATGTTAACTCACTATTACTTCCATCTCTTGGGAGGTCTCCTGGGATTCTGATTTAATAGTGAAATACAATGGAAAAGTGTTTTTATTCTAACAAAATTTAGATTTAATCACCCGTATGGTGCCTGCATGTACTATGCTTCATATATGGTGTATGCTACCCCATTAAAGTGAAAAACTTGTATGTATTCCCTTAGCAGGTTAACTTCTATGTAAGGAGTGACAGGTATTGGGGAAGAGAATTTGATTATAGGTATTGTTTGCATGATCTATTTTAATTTCAAAATATTTGAAAGGACTTGATCTAAAGACAAGAAGGGACCTGCTTTTGGCGGTGGGTGTTTTCTATTCTCATGAATGTAATTTTGTTTCTGCTGAAAATTCATAAGTTGCTTTGTCCAAAGGACACTGACATCCTATACTATGCTTTATTTGACATCTTATACTGCACACTAAACCACACAGGGCAAACTTCAAACAACTCAGCTATAGGAATGTATATCTGATTTGAAAACTGAGGTCAGCTCCAATGTGCTTCCTCATGTTGCTCCCAAAGGAGGTGAAGACATCTGCGAACACATCTTTGCATTGCCTTTGTCTTCTTCTGTTTTTATAAAATGGTCATCAGATACCCAAACACTGAAACATCTTCCATTCATCCAGAGATTACTGTCTTTGTCACAGTTGTTTTGGATATTAGTAACAAAGCCAAATATGGACTTTTGATGACTTCCAAGAAAGAATGTGAGTGGATCATTAGAATAATTTGTAATTGATTGAGAAGAAGTTGCTCCACACCAATCTCTGGCATTATTATGGTCAAATAATTCACTGATGTAAAAGTTAGATAAACAGAGCTAAAACTTTTCTCTTATACAAGGACACAAACGAACTATGGGTTTTATCAGCAAAGGCATAAACAGAATCCCAAATTGTGGCATCATTTAAGTTAGAAAAAAATTATATCAAAGAAAACAAGCACCCATATATATTATAGAAAGAAATTCCTATAAAGACCCCTTTGGTGTTCTTAAAAATTTTTAAGTACGCTTTTATTTTTTACAGAAAATTTGCACTGCCTATTTCTTCTACTTGGAATACTCTTCTTCCAGATAGCCAAATGGCTCACTTCCTTAATCCTTCAAGTTCATGCTCAAATGTTACCTCCTTAATGAGGCCTTATCCCATTCAGCCCTGCTTAAAATAGAAACTATCGGTTCCCACATACCCACAGAATTCTCTACTGTTCTTAACTTGCTTACTTTATTGCTACAGTATTTATTATATACTCCTCTATGATTTTCTCTCCACTAGGATGGCAGCTCTCAAGAGCTAGAATTTTGGTCTGTTTTGTTCACTGCTTTATCTCTGAAAGAACTCAGAGTCAAGCTTTGGGAAAACCAAATATCAGGGCTGAGTTCAACAGGCAGGAGTGGGAAACAGAGAAAAGGGATAGTAACTAGGCAGATACTAGGTAAGATCTAAAAGAATGCAGGTCAAGGCCAAACAAAAGGCAGCCAAGAACAGCTTTTTTGGAATCACATAAGAACACATGTGCTTATAGATATTAGCTGATAGGTAGGAAGTTTATATATGGCTGGACAAGTTTCAAGATGTTTGGCTATACAGACAAGGATGATGGTGAGCATTTGCTATGTTTTTGACCACTCAGCAGCTGAATCCACCATCAGTCAGGGTAGGCAAGGTTAAGCTACAGTAACAAAAAATTCCCCAAATTGCTGTGGTTTTAAATAATGACATTGATTTCTCACTCATGCTACATGTTCATCACAGGTTGGTAAGGAGGCTTTACTCACTGCAGTCACTTAGGAATTAAGGCTGACAGAAACCTCATCTTAGCATACTTCCGTATTTGCAGAGGTAAGGAAAAGTAAATTGAGAAATTAGTGCTTCTGTCCTGAAGTGATATATGTCATTGCTACTCCTACTTAACTGGCCAGAGTTAGTCACATTGCTAAACCTGAGTCAATGGGGGTAAATAACACAGTTCTCCTATGATAAGAGATGACTGAATATAAGTGATGATTAACAGTCTACCTCATCCAGTTCTGCAAGTGGGAACCCATCTTATGGCTTCTGGAGGGAAGTAGAGCCTGTCTCCTACTACAAAAATTGAAGGACCTGCCTTCCCCACCTCCCTGTCCCTAATCTTATGCACTGGGGTATGATCTGAACTGGGGTTGATGATATAAAGCAATGTGGGAGGAGGGAATCGTTTCTGGCAAGACTCGGGCGGCAGCAGCATTTGACTTCCAGGGACAGTTCTGGCAACCATACCCATAATGACTTCCAGCATCATCAGGGTAAACTGGAGTGCTCAGAGTCCAGGGGTGGCCAACGTGGGAATCCTTACTTGATGGTATGTGATGTGATTCAGAATGCAGTTATGGCTTTATAGCTTCCTGTCATATCCATGCATTTTAATGCCTAGTTCTCCAGCATTCCAATTAGTTCTATGAGCTCCCCAATGCCTTTTCAATTAATACCTTTATATTTAAATCAGCTCAGTATGTCTTTATTGTCTGCATCATGATTAATACAAGTGGTCTGAAATACTGTGCACTCTTCTTATCCTATTTATCATGTTTGCAAACACCTGAACAAAAGCTGCTTTATCCAGAACTTGGCTAAATGCAAGAATATGGTTCCTATCACTTTAAATTCAGGGTTTTGCTTTTGTTTTTGTTCTTTTTGTAAAGTTATCCATGAACATATACTAAAAAAAAAAAATCAAATTTCTCCAAGGTATGAAAAGCAACACTCTTCTTTCTACTGCATCAATCTCTTCTTCCCACAATCAATTTCTACTTTTTTCAGTTGATTGTTTTCGTATTTACTTCCAAGGCTCTAATAATATTATCGTGATGGTCAACATATCTGTGTTGCTTGCTATGTGCCAAGTACTGTTCTAAGCACATTAGAAACTTAGTCATATAACAATCTTATGAGATAGATAATTATCATCCCAATTATCAGATGAGAAAACTAAGATGTAGATAAGTAGAACAACTTGCCCAAGGTTATATGGTTATTAATTGGTGGTGGTGGGATTTGAACCCAAAGATTCTGACTGAAGAGTCTGCACACATTACTATGCTATGGTGTACCTCTCTCTATATATTTACATTCTGATTATTCAGTTTAAAAGTTTTTGTGTGTGTGAGGGAGGTAATTAGGTTTATTTATTTATTTACTTTTAATGGAGGTGTTAGGGATTGAACCCAGGACCTTATGCACGCTAGGTATGTACTCTACCAATGAGCTATCCCCTCTTTCCTGATTATTCAGTTTTGACTATTTATCTATTGACTTCATATTTGGTGAATATCTCTTTTCCCCACCACACACAAGTACGATTCCCATACCCTATAGGCTGTAGAAATATTTACTAATCATTATATTTATGCAAATGATATTTATAGAAGAGCCACTAATTTAACTTCAAAATCTCCCCAAGTTGTGTAAACCTCCTCTGAATATATTCAAACATACTAAGTAATCTATACATTTCATCTTCTTATAGATTGCTCTCAGAGTCTCCTAAAACATTCTAAGCTGAACAAGTTTTCTCTAGGCCTGATACAGAGCTATAGTTTTGGATCTTTCCTCATGGAGAGATAGTCATAGGGTTTTCTGTTACCTCTGTCTTGTGTTGGACCTTCTTTTCTAGGATCCCATATCTTCTATTTTCTTAGTTCATCATTCGTTTTTTTAAGACACATCCTCCAGTAGCTTCCTGAGAAAGAGTGCGTGAGAGATAGTTTAGTAAAACTTTTCATTTCTGAAAGTCTTTTTATTCTCCACGCACAATCAAATGATAGTTTTTCTGGGTATAGACATTTAGGTTGAAAATAAATGTTCCCTCCTAATTCTATAGGCATTATTCCATCATCTTTTAGCTTCTGATGTTGTTTTTGAGAAGTTCAGTTTCATTTTGATTCTTAATCCCATTTAGTCAGTAAATCTGACATTACAAAACAATCCAATAGTTTTCTTAATTATAATTTTAGTTTCATAAGGATATTTTGCAAAATTACAGTGTACATTGACACATTTATACAATTTTTATTTTTGGCTTATTAGTTTCATAATAACTTGGATATGTTTTGCATTGTGCTTCAAATATAAGTCTTCTTCACTCTTATTGCTAATGTAAATATATTTCTCTCCTCCCCTAATCTAATTCATTCCTACAGAAACTCTTCCAATGTTGTCACTATTTTTTTTTAACATTCCTAGTGGGAAGGTTGGCAAGGAGATACAAAAGGAATGAGTAAAGACATTGAGAAACAGGAAACAGTCAGTACCAAAGCTGAAGGTAAGACAGAGTCTATCTGGTTCAACTATGTTATTTTATATAGAGAAAAAGCAGCCTGAAAAGTTGAAATGATTTTTTCCAATGTCACATGCTAATATGAGTGACCAAAGAATTTATCATTAAAATCAGGGCACTTATGAGAGTGAAAGAGGATATATGCATAATTATACTAGAATGGTAGATGTAAACCAGGTACACTAGCTCAACCCTGGACAAACTAGGATGTATGATTTCCATATGGTAATCATGGCGTAACCAGCCCTAGAATTCTCGTCTCTAGTGTTTTTCTCACCTCTTCGTCCAACTTGAGCTAACCTCACTTAATTCAATCTCTAGTAGTTTCTTCTCTCACATCATTTTATTTCATTCGCATATTCCTTCATTCATTCTAAAAGTACTTATTGAACATCTACTTTGACCTCTGATCCTTAAAGTCATTCCTATCCTTTAAAAATGATTAGTTATTATCCTCACTTAAAATCGCTCATGTGTGTAAAGACAGGAAAATATTAGAAAACTACCAGCATCGAAGCTGACACCACCATATTTTATTCAAGAGGTAAATACGTAGGTAAATTGTGACACTATCTGGTAACACACTACAAATGAGAGAGTTCAGTGACTCTTAGTATGAACTAGACACACAGCCAGCTGGGAGCACAAGTGGTTCAGTGGGTTTCTGTGACAGCACTGGCGTACTTGTTCAAGGGGCATTTTGGAAGCTTTACAGCAAGTTCAAAGAGCATGCCAATTGAGGATGGAGACATGAAGTGAAGCTCAGTGAAGAAAACAGGGAAGTACAGACACAAATGTAAAAATAGCTTCAAAGCCCCAGCATCCAGTTTGATGATCAGGGTTATTTTTTTAACTTTTTAAAGGGCAATTTTAGATTCACAGCAAAAGAAGGTACAGAGATTTCCTACATATGCATTGCCTCCACACATGTCCAGCCTCTCCCACTCTCAACATCCCTCATCAGGGGGTACCTGTGCTACAACTGATAGACTTACACTGAGACATCATAATCACCCAAAGTCCATATTGACCTTAAGTTCACTCTTGGTATTGTCCCAGGAGATTTTTCAAGTAGACTTTCTATTTTGATCATTAACTATATGAATTAGAACTTCATTTTATAAGAAATATATGACTCAAGGCCAAACTAGCTCATCTTTTTACTGGAAATGTAGTGAAACTTGAGCTAAATTCCCAAGCTATTGCTATCAGTTGTTTACCATAAATTCTTTTTTTCATCTCAGCTACGGATTTTGAAGTATATCACTCTTTAGATGGACAAAACTGAAGCTGATAGTTTCATACAAAGAACTCAGGCTGAAACTTCTACATACCAATATTGGGTTTTCTATGGCTTTTGGAACATGTGAACAGACTCTTGATTTTGATCATAAACATCTTGTACTAAAATAGGTTATAAAACAATGAAGTGCAATAGATCTTAAGTTACTAGACAATCTTCTGACCTCACCACTTGCTGTGTCTTTTGGCAAATTGGTTCACATTTCTAACCTCCAAGCTCCTCAAGTATAGAAAAGAAAAAAATAATACTTCCATTGAAGGTTTGTTGGAAAATTCAACATAACATTGGACATTTGTGTTTCGCAGAGTGCTTGAGGTAGTAAGTACTCAGTAAATGATAACTGGATTTTCTAATCCCAAATTTTTCACAAATAAGTAAACCCTGTTTTAAGATCAGTTGTAGATGCATGCAAATGTTTTGATATTTTTCTCAAAAAGCTATATAAATAATAATTTTGACATGGCTGACAAGATCATCTGATTAGTATATAATGAAATTCAGACTGTGTATTTCATTCTTGAAAGCAGGTATCAATGATATGGTTTCATGGCTACTGGTTATGCTTACAAATTGGATTCTGTGGTTGTACAGGAAGTACTAGCCTGTTTCTACCGGCAGCTGTTTTGTATTGGTGGGATGTATCTGGTGATGTGCTGGCATAATGATAATAACAACAATAATGAAGTATGTATTGACACATTGTCATTTATCAGGAGCTAATAAGTTTCATACTTAATATACATTATATTGGCTAAAATGAAGATACACTTGTGGTACCCTGAGAAGGCCTGAAAATTTGTTGGTTCTGTCAGGTTCTTGAAATTTGAAACTATTCAAGCAAAGTCAAGGCTGCAGGATTAGCTAGATGGCCAAATAACAAATGTACACTATTCTTCTCCAGAGAAGCCGGGTAGGAGAGTGTTGAGGAGTTGGTAGAAATGGAAATGAATCACCTCTGTATAGCAGCCTCAGAACATTTAAATTTCCAAAGTTAAATAATCTAGAACATTTTTTGCAAGTAAATAATAAAAAAGTAACCCATTGTTAAATGAGTAGACTACCATTCTATTGGAAAACAGACAGATTTGGGGGAAATTAATTTGAAGTCCAACTGAGGATGTTTAGAATCCATGAGTTCCCACACATGTGATTCTATTTCTAAGCAAGGCTCTTCATTAAAGAAAAAATATGAATCCTTAATTTTCCTGCATGAAGCCCATTCAACTCGCTATTCTCACTGTTGTTTTTAAGGAAGAAGATATTTTGCTTTTACTTCTTCTTTTTAAAGTCATCAATTTCTCAAATATGAGCTCATTCAAATTGAACTCACTTTTCTCTCCAGCACACAGGTCACATGAGTAGACCAGGAGGAAAAAAGAAAAGATTTCAGAAAGCACAATTCTTTTGAGGAGTCACTGTGCCTGCTGCAAAATTATTCGAATGAAAAGATTTTTTTTTTTGAGGTAAAATGACAATTAAGGTCGACCTCCTCCGTTCAAATTAAAAAAAGAGAAAAAGGCGTGTAATGAAGAATCTGACTCCTTCCTCTAATTTTACAAGTTCAATGGTAATCTAACCGTGCCATTCATTTACAGAAACCATTAATTTTACTATGTGGCTGAAAGTAGTAGGCCTCAGCTTTCATTCTCCTACTTTTCCCCTCCCTTAGGCTTTGTGTGTGCACCTGTTCGGGCCACTTTAGCATCCCATTTGTAAAACTTTGGATAATCCTCTGGCACTAACCCTGGTGTGATAATACTTCTGTTATTCAGCAGCCTAATTACAAAGGACAACACAGATAAAACACTTCAGTCCTATTTTTTAATAGCTGATTTGCCAATTTCGCCAAGCTCCAAAGAGAATGATCTTCAAACCTTGCTGGATTTAAACTTAATCTGAATTTGTTCAACGCATGGGACTCCAATACCTCAGAGCAGACCTTTTGTTGTTAGATTTTGGACACCTCATTCCTTCTTCCACCTTCACTCCTTTTAAATTGTGATGTTAGGAATCTGTTTTTCAGAATATCATTGAATAATATAATTAGAGCATTTTAAAGCATTCCCCAACATCTTTTGGAGACAACTGTTGACATCCTCCAATAACAAAACAGTTAGAGAACTGGGGCTTTGGGCACTAAAGAGTTACTTTACTCAATTAAGCTAAGTGAAAGAAGAACTTGTCATACTTCTTAATTTAACAAATTTTTCTGAGGGTAATATCTTCAGAATTGGAGCTCAGTAAAGGAAAAGTGTGTCTAATATTTCTTTTCTGGTTTAAGATGGGAAAAAAAAGAGGATTATTTCTAATTTATGGCAAATCAAAGGAAAGGATCATTACTTCAGTACAGGTAAGCCTCCCAGTATCTGTGCACTTAGCTCTACTTCTTTGATCTAGATATGGGACTGGAGAGCTGGCAATGAGACAATCTTAGGAGTTCTGGGTACTTCCTGGTCTGTGGAGAATATCCTGAAGTTTTGAAGGGTCAACTAAATCTCTCCCCCAAAACACGTTTAGGGGGTTTCTAAGGGTACTGTCCAACCGAAGGGCAGCCCCTACCACTTTCTTAATCCCTTGATTTTTGAAACCCCAAATAACACAAGGGAAATTTAATACATATGTTTCTGACTTGCTTACACTGCTTCATCAAAACGGTGTTTTGTAAGAGCTATTTGATATCTAAGACGCCTTCTCAGTCTTCTTTCTAAGCCTTTTATTTTGCTCCAAGAAATCACATTTTCTTCATGTTCAGCAGAATTGGAAGCAGAAGAGGCCTAAGTTTGGCTCAAAAGCTCATATTCACAAAGTCAGCAGAAGTTTGGACGCTAGCAGAGTATGTTGCTGTCCTCTGCTTGTCCACAGTACAAGACAAGTGAAAAACTCAAGGATCCTACTTGTCAAAAGTAGGATGCCATAGGTTAATTTTACTGACTATTCCACCTACTAATTTCATCCAAATGTACATTTCTGCTTTCCAAGATACTAACTGTCACATATTAAATGAAAGACTAATAAACATGTTCATCCCATTTTACAGATGGAAAAGTATGTCATAGACTAAAGTGATACATTTTAATCCAATATGACACTGTAATTTGTTAAAAACACCAGCTACACTGAGTCACACAACCAGTTCCTGAGTCATATAAAAAACAGTGAAAAATCTGCAGAAGAAAAGACATCTATTTTAGATTATAGGAGAGCCCATTAACTATGGGGGAATTTTAATGTTTTGGGGGAAATTTTCAATGTTTGAAATTTAAATTTTTGATTGATCACTGAAATTCTCAAAACAAATGAACAAAAAAAAATGAACACCACCAAAGTAAAGCCAGTTAGCTATGAGTGGTTTAGAATAATATACTGGTATATTTTACCATTTGCTGGGCACTTAAGAGTTCAGACACTGTGCTAATTACTATAAATAAATTATTTCATTCAATTCTCACATAATCCTATGAAGTAGGCACTACTATCTCTATCCCTATTTTTTTCTAATGAGTGAAATGTGGTTCAACGGTTTAAAGGGGGAAAGATTATTTGTCAGGTATGGCTATTTCAGTCATTTCTTATATTAGCACAACTTTTTTTTAATCCAATAGGACATGACTGACATGTTCAGTTTTATGAATAGTGTAAACTTGGTACAAAACATTCTCAGTAATGTTATGAGTTGGATATTATAAACCAGGGACCAGGTGTCATTTCTGGTCTCATGGTCTTAAGTACTGCACGGCACCTTTTGGGGTATGTGCTTGTTCAGTTGACCTTTGCCAAAATGAATCTTATTTGTCTAACACTTTTCTGGGTCTGATGGTTCTTTGATTCCTAGGGAACATGGCAATTGGGATGAGATTCACAAACAAGTCAGATTTAAAAAAGGATTAAATAAGGAGCCCTAAATCTAGAATGTCAGAATTTTCCACGAGGAAATGGTACTTCAGTGGTACACTTCTGTGAAGGTGTCAGCTGAATTCTAGAGAGTACATTCTAGATATATTTTTTATTGTTGTTACCTATAACACCTGGCAGGTCGCAGGTCCTCGGTAAATTTTTGTTGAGGGAAAGGATGAATAAACGACTAAAGAAGAAATAGAGGTCTTTACATCCCTAGCCATGAGTTAGACATTAACAGAAAACTGGTGAGAGAGCTTGTGAGTTTCATTCCTAGGGTCTGTGTGTCTGTGAAGACTTGTATCTGGAGGATTAACCAGTTGGCTCTACTCTGTGAGTTGAGTGGGAATGACTCTCCCAAAGCAGTTACTGGAGTCAAGAGCTCTGCCATGGAATTTGTGGTAGCCGGCTCCCAGATGGCCCCTGGTTGATTCACTCTTCTTGTATTCTTGTTCCTCCTACTGTGACTAGGTCTGACTCATGCAAGCAATAAGATATTGAAGAAATGATGGAGTGTGACTTCTAAGACCAGGTCATAAAAGACATTATGGCTTCCACCTTGTTCTCTTAGGTCACTCACTCTGTGGGGAGCAATCGCCCCATACACTCAAGCAGCCCAATGGAGAGATGCACGTGGTGAGACCCTGAAGGATCAACTGGACAGTCATGTGCGTGATCAGTCTTCAAAACAGATCTCCCAGCTCCAGGTGAGCCTTCAGGTGAATGCAATCTTGGCTGACATCTTGACAACAATCTCATGAGAGACCCTGAGCCAGAACCACTCACCTCAGCTGCTCCTGAGCTCCTGGCCAACAAAAACTGCCAAAAAATGTTCCTTGTTGCCTTCAGCTGCTAAATGTAGAGGTAATTCCTTTGGCAGCAATAGCTAATACAGAGTTGCATTGAGTGACACAAAAATCAGACTCTGACACTTAAGAAAATAAACATGTAGTATCAGTTGGCTTATTCATATTTGTCCATCACAAAGCAGTTATGAGACCCTAATCTTTCATATAGGAATTAGGCCTAACAATATATTTTGATATTCAAATGGGCTAGGGTGTAATGTGTGGAGATTTGTGTGTATGTGTGTGTTTTAAAGGTCCCCAGTGACTTTGATTTATAGTGAAAATAATTCTGAAGCATCATGAAAATTAGATTCTGGTGTCAGGTCTACTATGCGACAATAGTCAGGACACTACAGCTCTCTGAACTGTAAAATCCAAAGTCCCATTTAATTAAAAATTTTATGAATAAAGTATATCAGCTAAACAAAATAAGGCCTGACAATGGTAATCAGTATCCTTGGACTTTAAGGACGGGTACATGAAACTTCGGCATGTCAACAACTGACACAGAAGAGAGTTTGTTTTAAGGTGAGCATACGCGTGATGTTATCCCAAAGGTCTTAGGTACATTTACTGCCCCCACACAGTGTGTTAGAAGCCAGCAGAACATCTGGCACGACTCCCAAAGAACAGGGATGTAGCAAGTCGTCAGTGCAGACAAATGACACTTTGAAGATTACTTATCAACCACCGAAGATTTCATTTTCCATGGCTTGTTTGGAGACAGTGTGGTCTGATGCATGAAGGAGGGGAATTTAAGCATTTCTGAAAGTTGGTTCCTGGCACTGGCCTGAGCATGACCCTCAGCCAGGTTTCTTACCTCCATTGAGGAGTATTTCTGCTGACATCGGGGACGTGACTGGTTGTCGTACTTTGTGACACTGGGTGAGATGTGGGGTGAGGTGCAGTCATCACTGATTTAAGTGCACAAACCTTGGGAGCTTCAGACAGCTGTCACCTACAAGAAACAAACTGAAATTGTGGTATATAGACAGTTTGAATCCTTTCTTTACCCCTAAATACAAGTATGGCTGAGAATATTATTTCATCACTTGAAGTATCACTCTGTGAAAATGGGCCTAAAATTAATATCTACCTCATACAGGTGTTGAAGCACCAAATAAAGCATCCAGAACCTCGTGCTATCTGAATAATGGGATCCAATATCAGAATAGTTATTATAATTCTACCTATGATGCAAGTGGTTTGACTATGAATAATCTCTTTGGAGATAGGCTTTGGGGAGGTTTAAGCTTTCCCCTCCCTCCCAGGGAGATACCTACCTTTCAACTGGAACTTATAGAATATTTACAAATTCTGTCTCTAAACCAGACCAGAGAGAAGGTATGAATTTTTTCCTAACAAGAAAAGCAGAAAGCTAAAAAGCAATGTATGATTTTAGAAGACTTATTTCATTTGGACCAATGGATAACTTTTTGTTCCTGAGAGGGGGAGGGCTCTTCATGAGAAGGACAGTAATGTTATTATTCATGCTGTAGCCAGCCCACTTCAACTGCTGGTCTTCACAATGCCTACAAGTGTAATAAAAAAAAAAAGAATACAAAAAAACCACTTGCTTCCTTTTTTTATGAGTATTGACATTCTTGTGCAGTATTAGGAGAGCTAATTTAGCTTCCAGTTCTAAGAATTTTTGAATCTATAGCCAGTAATTATTGGCATTCAGAGGTACAAAAGAGGAAAACAAAGCTTGCAAATTCTAGCACATTCATGTGGGATTGGGAGCTGAATTAGGATCCTCACACCCCATTGAATGATCAGCCCCCCTATTAGAGCCTTATTAAAATGGTAATGATTATATGCCAGCTATAGGCAGGCAGCCGCACCTGTCAAAAACTACCCCGATTATCCTGTTCATTGAACTGTCTGGCTCTTGAATCAGCGTCTCAGGTTTACTTCTCTGTGAAGTCTTTTTCCCCCATCTTAAATTAAAAAAGATACAAGAACAAACATTTCCTTAGGGTCACAGAACACTCTTGTAGTTCATTATATCTTTTCCTCATTTTCTGTTTTCCTATCTGGAATGGCAATACGATACGGGAGTGATCCCCTCTTTGGTTTGGGAATAGAAACAGGAAAAAGAAACAGAAGAAATGTAAAGTCCCATTTAAATAAAAATTCTTATGTTAGCAAAAGACAATGCAAATCTATAATTAATCTAAAAACTGAGATTATCTAATTATCAATTACAAATACTGTGATCAAGCATAGATTCTTTTTACTCATGCATTACTTACCAAGCCTAGAGATCTGTTATCCTTCATTTAAAAGACATTTTGGGCTTTCATCTATCTTTTGCTTTTAAAAACACAAAACAATAATGTGTTCCATTTGAAATCAGTTTTTTCCCCTAGATGAACTATACCATTGAATGCACAATGCTGTTTTCTTACGAGACTAATTCTACCCTCACTGGAAGGAAAAGTGTCTTTTAAAGTACAGTCATCCCTCCTTGTCTGAAAGGGATTGGTTCCAGGACCCCTGTGGATACCAAAATCTGCAGATGTTCAACTCCCTTATATAAAATGGTGTAGCATTGCATATAACCTACAAATATCTTCCCATATACTTTAAACCATCTCTAGATTATTTATACATAAATACTATGTAAACAGTTGTAAATAAAAAGTAAGTGCTACGTAAATTGTTTGCTTCAAATTCAAGTTTTGCTTTTTGTAACTTTTTGGTAATTTTTTCTCAAATATTTTTTATCTGTGGTCAGTTGAATCCGAGGATGTGGAACTTGCAGCTACAGAGGGGAAAATTGATTGTGGCCTTTCATCTAGTGGTTTGTCAAATTCCATAATATAAGTGACCATCTATATAAAAGGGTACCAAGAGGTTGGATGTCATCAATAGTACTTGTGACAGATGCTCTAATGGTAACTGATCAGAGCACTTGGGGAGTCGGGATGATGTGCAAAGAAAAGCAATTTTTTGTTTGGTGTGTTTTTGTTTGTTAGAGAATAGCTTTCTCTGAATCCTAGCATTTAAGGGGAACCACAAAGGATTTTCGTTTCCTACAATAGCTACTGGACTGAAAAGATTTCTATTACCTGTCAGCCACGAGTCTCAGTCAGCGGAGAACAGAGCAAGAAGAACACAGGTTTTTCCATCACTTGCTTTTTGGTAGAATGTCCCCCTGCAGGTATCTTGAAGATCCAGGAAGCTAATAATAGACAGAAAGAATCTTAAATTCCTTGACACACTCTTTTGTTAACTGGCAGGAAGAAAAACAGGATTCAAATTTGGGATTCTGTGACATTAACCTAGCTGAAAGCACCTTGGATTTCCAGCCGCTTTGATATTCCCACGTGAAAATATTCACAACTCGGCCCAAGTTAACTGAAATCTTAATTACACTGAGTTGCTGCTTCTATTACTGTAACAACAAAAGAATGCATCCTTTACAGTGATTCACAATTCATCTGAGACATTCTTTCTCAGGACGCAATTTATTTATTGAATGACTTCAGTGCGATGTATTCTCCTATCTCCTCTCCTCCAGGCCACCCAATCTACCCTGCCCTCAGCCAGCCAGTGTTGACTGAACAGCATGCAGTTCCAACTGAATAACTCTCAAACTTTTGTTGCCACTTTTTAAAAAGATTGCATCATGAGATAATTCACTATCGAAATAATTGATTACTATGCAGCCAAGATTATCATTAGGGTATCTGAGTCCTCAGATTCCTTTCACAGTCCTTAAACCCCTTGACCTTGCTATAGCATGAATAATTCTTTGCCCTTCTGCCCAGGACCATTCAGCCTGACACTTTGCTGATATATCGACATCCTGGGTCTCCTCCTGCTTCCCTTCTTTTTTCTTTCCACACTTTTCTTCAGTATACTATAAATATACTACAATATACAGTATTGTTTTATGTGCTATATAATGATATATTATCATATCATAATTACTGCTACCTAGATTACTGTAGTAGCCCTCTAATTGTTATCCAGCATCTACAGTCTATTTTAATATAGCAGCTGAAGTGATCCTGTGAAAATATAAATCAGATCATGTCACACTCTTACTCACAACTTTCAGTGGCTCCCCATCACATTCAGAGGAAAATACATTGCCCTTATACTGGTCTCCCAGGCCTTACCGGTTCTGCCTCCAGCCCTGCTTTGCCTACGACATCTTTTCCTACAACTCCATTTCTTGATGGCTCTGATCCAGTTGCACTGATGTCCCTGTTGGTCCTTGAACACCCCAGCTGCTCTTCTGCCTTAAAGCCTGTGTCTCACTGTCCCATCTGAACATTCTTCTCTCAGATTTGTGTAGGACTAACATCTCACTCCCTTCAAGTCTCTGTTTAGACATCACTTTCTCTTAAAGTAAAGAAA